CAGGAAAATCTAGACAACAAGAAGAAAGGCTCCCATCACCATGACCACATTATTTTATCATAATGATAGAAAAAGGGACCAATGTATGCATGCAGCCTCAAAGGTAAGTTAATAGTGTAAATTTCAAACTAGAGAACTGAACAAACCTATAAAGTGCATCAAAGAAAGAACCACAGCTCAAGGAAGGGAGGATCACAAAAAGACAACTCCTGAACAAGCTTTGAAATTTTGCAGGATTCTGAAAATGAAAGTATTGGAGCAAAAGAAAGAAAAACAACACACCCCTTTCAGCACCCTTGGTGTCTCTAGCAGCTGACACTATCCACAAAAAGGAAACAATGAAATAAAAGTCCTGCAAAGCTGTCATTTAGTACCTGTTTACATAGAAGATGTTAAAAGGCACCCAATCCAGTTGTAGCTTTGAGACAATATTACAACATAAATTATAAATATGAACGTCAAAGAAAGATAAGTAGGATGAGGTTACTTGGCAATGGAACACAATATGGTAAATATCTTTGAAATAAGCAAGGTAGCTAAAAGTTATTAGAAAGGAACTATTGTCAAAATGTTAACAAGGGGAATGAAGATGGCACACTAAGAGAGGACCAAAATCTATCTTGGGGGAAAATTATCAATGACTTCAAAGCTTCTGGCTAATCATAAGATGGAACTATTCTAAATGCTGATAAAGAGGACAAAAGTGCTTAAAATACTGATCAAAACCTGAAGTCAATTCTTATTGCAGACCCTAAATAATCATCAACTATCAACTGGAATTGCAAAATTATTGCCATTAGGAGACGCGATACAAAAACATAGCAACTGTGGACTAGATTGTGTAAAGTTTGATGACTGAGTAATTAATAACTGTGAAAGAAAAAAAAAGTAAAAAGATAAATCTGCAAGAGCATATTATAATAGAAATACCAAAATCTGGTTTATTGACTAAGAAAAAGTATTTGACAGCATTGGTTAAGATTCATAACGGAACTGTCAGGGATTATGAAGTCCTTAAAAGACCATTCCTTTGATCAAAATACTTCATGACAGATTAAGCCGTAGCATGAAGTGCAGTTTAATGATGGTTTTCTGAGTTTTTCAACATTATCAATGTATTTGGGTAAGACTGTTTTCTCAGACCAAGTCCCCAGTAGGTAGCTATGGCTATAAACATGGTGGTAAATATAATGGTAGAAAGACATTGAAATCTCAGACATAGCTGGGACAGGGACACATTTTCGTTGCATCTAGTACACTTTTACCACAAGACTCCCATGCTTAATATTCAACAGCATGAGCCAAACCCAAGCTACTTTACTCATGAAAATAGTTCCAGTGAAAAGAACAACATAAATCATGAATTAGGTTGTGACTAGTACTATGCATAATATTGTCAAGGACTCCAATAACAAGTTCTCTCAACACTGTGTATGTGCCCATAGGAAAACTTTCTTTGGGTAAGATGTAGTGTCAGCTGATAGGTGCAGCATTTGCTACACGTCGTAACTGCTGGCGGTACATTACTTAATGGTGCTGGGTATGGCCATAAACTGCATCCAACTGGAGGACCTGGTGGCAACGTGGTGGGGCAACTTGTGGCAGGGTAACTCCTGTAAAGTACCACAAAGTTGCAACCTCCAGAGTAAGGCAAGTATAGGGTGCATCAAAACCAGTAGAAATGCATAATGGGTGCATATGTACCCCCTGAGAGCTCTGGCACCTCCTGACCAGCACGTGCCCCCCATAAGGTGGCACCAATTGCCCATGCTCAAAACCCTAGTCCCCACTGCCTCGTGGGTACTCTTTGGTTGAAGAAAGGCTAGGGGACATCACCTTAACAGAAACTTGCCCTTGCTGCGGCATTAGGCAGTCAGCAGCAGTTCTGGTTGTAGCTTCTGCCAGAGAGCAACAGAGGCACTGACAAAGTCTGGCCTTCGGATTCTGTCTCGATAGTTTAAAGGGGGAGGGGAAAAGAGGTGGATGGTAGGTCTTGGGCAGCCTCTACTCCATCTTTGTGCCTAGGCATATACATCAAAGGTCTTGGCGAGATGGTTGCAGGACCCCGTGCAAGCAGATTCATTGGGCACCTGACTAGACCACTGACGCATACACCATGACCCGGAGGGCTGATGGTTGCCCACTACATTGCTAAAACATTGAGTTAAGAAACAATTAAAAGGGAAGGATGACACTGGAAGCCACACAGACCCAATGTGAAGAGAGAAAATGTCAGTACAGGCTAGGATCAAACTATTACCCCCAGCACTCAATCACAGATGAAGGAGGCAGAGGAAATCATTGTTGGCTCAGAGGCTGCAAAGGTGCCAGATAGATCCCTGATTTTTAGTGCAAGGCACATTTCAATACTTAGGGTTTTTTTCTTAAAACACCCTGCTTCTGGAGTCAAGTGACTGCAAGAGAATCTGTTTGGCTCTTTGTTTGGTGGTGGTGGTTGTTGTTTTTTTTAAATAAAAAAAACCCAACAGTATACTTTTCATGGATGAACAGAATAGGTTGAGGATGTGAATCTAAATAGTTCAAACACCAAATGGCCAATATCTCATGATTAGTAAAAGCTTACTAATTTTTTAAACCTTATAATTTTTCAGCCAACCTCATGTTTTTTGAATACTTCAGACCAGCATTACTGGGGATGTCTCTAGGGTCACAATGTTTTTGGGGGCTCCTCTTAGATGTCATTTTCTGCATCATTCCTTGCTTAAAGCAGAGCCTAAAGTCATAATCAATGTCCTAAGGGGTAAAGATTGTCCTTATAGTATTTTTGTTTATTGTAAATCTATGGTAACTGACTTCAAGATCATCAGTAAAATATTTAAGGATAAAGCTTGCTACCTTTGCTAAGGCTAAGCTATAAAAACTTAGTCCTCTGGTAAACTGCCTGAAATGAATGGAATTATCAGCTTCCTCCTTAAGTATTACTTAATGTACACAAAAGTGACAGGATCTGCACCTCAATATGGTAATAAACTAAAAGTGACCCAAAAAAAATCATAAAGTTGCTCTTCCTTTGCAATCTCAGCATTTGCCAATAAGGACTATACAAACAGGAAAGCAGCTTAAAAAGCACAGGCAGCCTTTCTGTCATACAACATTTTTTGGAAAAAAAAAAAAAAATCAGCGGATAGGCATCAGCAAAATTGTTATTAATGCATACTACAATTCCTCCTTCCTAGTAGTCAGATAGGACCCGCAAACGTATCAAAATATTACTAGCAGGAGAAATAGTTGCATTATGACTAGTACAATACCCAACTATAGATCACTCGTTTTAAGTAAAGAAACAATTAAAGCTAATAAGGAATGTGGGACACTGAAAACCACAGTAATGAAAAAGAATTGTAGAATCATAGATTTAATAAATAAAGTAAACGTATAGATCTATTTAATAATCTTAGGCCAAGACCCTATTTAGGTCATATTTATCAAAGCTGGAATGTTGCAGTTTTGGCCTGTATGTTTCCAGCCTATTAGAAATTAACTTTAAAAAAATCCCCAGAGTAGACTGATAGGTGACTGTTTGCTACACTGGTTTTAAAGTAATTGAAGGCTAACAATGTTATACAAACATATAGCAAGAAAGGATTTCTGCCCCAAGGTGATAACAATCAAGTAAGGAAATTAACAAAACGTTTTAGACCCTTTGCCTAGGGACAGACATTCAAAAAAATCCTGAGCCTGAACTGATTCAATCTTTGCAGGTTAGTCTAACCTGCCTAGATTTAACTAGTTTGCAACTGTACAGACAGTCCCTCTGGACTGAAGAAATGCAGGCATATCCCTGCAGTGGCTCAGACTAGAAGCTGGGGGGGGGGCGGTGGAGTGGGGCACTAGAGGAGCTCTCCCTTCCCTTTTACAGTGCTAAGCTGAAGGGGAGGTGGCATGAAGGGGTGTAAACCCCCACCCTGCCTGCATCATCCCAGGCTTTTCCCCCCCACTCACTGTTCAAGGGGCAGGAGTGTTGCCAGCCCCAGGCTAGCACTCTGAGGCAAAGTTGGGGTGTAAAGCACATGCATCTATTGATGAAAAGCTCAGTATCAATATCCCTCTCCCTGTTTCTTCATACTGTCTGCAAACCTAACAGGTGAGGAAGCTGATAACATGGCATTTATCAGCCCATCAACAAAAAACCCTCTCTCATTAGTTCAAGCTCTTCTTAAACAGCTTTTTCCAAGGAAGGAATGGAGGGACATTATCACCTGGCCTGTTGATTAGCTCCAAAAAGCCTTAAGCAGCCACTGTTCTGTCTGCCTGTCCCAGTGCAATTGGAGACACACAGACACCTCTCAGCATTAGCTAGCATACTGCATGCCAGCTAAGGTCCATGGGGCTGGGGCCTGTGCTGTGGGGGATGGGGGGGGAGGGAATCTCTGCTTGAGCAGCA